AAGGGAGAAAATTTGGAACCCAAAGTTTTAAAAACAAATGTTAAAAATTGTTTTCACATGCAACTGGGAAATAAGATATACAGGAAATGAGGTATAGAAATCTATCCTGCCCTATAGGAAAATAGAAGGGGACGGGGATGAGAAGAGGTAGAAGGGAGGGCAGATTAGGGGAAAGGGTACTCAGAACGCACGCTGTCTTGGGGTGGGGAAGGGGCAAGATAGGGAGAAAATCTGGAACTCAAAATCTTGTGTAAGTGAATGTTGAAAACTAAAAATAAATTAATTTAAAAAATTTAAAAAGAGAAGCAGAACAAGGTGAACAATAGACACAATTACTACAACCATGTAAAGAAAAAAGCTGAAACTGAATGTTGCATAAATGCCCTCCAGGTGTGTCCCCAATCATGAGACATGAAAATAACTTTTTCTTGGAGGCAGGGGACTAGAAGTATGAAATCTCGAAGACAATGCCAGACTCGGCTGATATCCTGCCCTGTTTAATTTCGTGGAACTTTTCTTTCCTTCTTTTTTCATTCTTCATTATGAAGAATTTTCTGGGTAGGGGGGAAAGGAGGGACGTATTTGAAGTGTTAAGTGGCAAAAAAAAAAAATAATAATTTTTCTTTAAAGAAAGCTAGTGGGCCAAGCCTAATGCTTTTTACTGAATGCCCTTCTGCGGTATGTTACAAATTATTTGCGTAGCCCACTACTACCAAAACTGAATCAATCTAAATCAAAACAAATCAAACTAATTTTTTTTTTAACTTTTTGTTGAGGCAGTTGGGATTAAGTGGCTTGCCCAGGGTCACACAGCTAGTAAGTGTCAAGTGTCTGAGGCCAGATTTGAACTCAGGTCCTCCTGACTCCAAGACCGGAGCTCTATTCACTACACCACCTAGCTGCCCCACCAAACTAATTTATGAGAATAAATTGAAACCTACTTCTCTTGTGGATATTATGTCTACCATTTTACACTAAGATGTCAGCCATCTTTCAACTCCTATGGAAATTTAGGCAACCACTTTGGGAATTAAGAGGATGCTACTGTAAAATCCTTTGGAAAAAGTAAGACGCTCAAGGGCAAAAAACCCTAAGGACACACTACTTTTCCTGTCACCTTTCTCTGAGGATGACTAGCAAATCCTGACACAAATTCTATGACTTCTAGGATTGGCTATACCAGATTTTTTAGAAAGTTAGTAACAGTCACTAATTTTGATAGGCTATTGTACTATTAATTGAAAATACTCCACTAAAATCCCACTCTGATCATCCTTCAAAATGATGGGGCAGTTTCCCCACATTCTCTATGTTTGAACGTAAGCCCAGCTTCAGGCCATCACCCAAGGACCAGCCCCAGCAGCAGAGGGCTAGTGACCCCAGGATGAAGCTTTCCAGTCACAGTAACTCATTAAGACATGAAATTATGGAGAGATGATAAGATTCAAGAGAACTCATTATAGGTTCATAAATCCTGCTCTCATTCTGTAAGCACAGCATACTTTTACAGGGAAGGCAAGAATGGGGTGCCATCAACATCAGAAAGGAGATGCCCACGAGGATGGGACTGGAGCCATTGGAGCATTGCTGGAGTACCATAATTAACAAAACACTTTCCTCATAACAATCCTATTTATTCATGAGAAAATGGACTCAGTGGAGAAGCAAAGCAACTAACCATATCAGGAATAAAAGCTGAAAGGACCTTGGGGCTCTCAGATCTTATCCAACCCCCTTAGGAAACTAGAGTCCAGAGAGAGGTTGTCTTGCCCAACCTCATGAAAGTAGTCCAGCCAAGGTTGGAAGCCAGCTCCTCTGATTCCAGATTCACTGTGTGCTATGACCACTGCACTGGCTTGCCAAAAGTTACACAGCTAGGAAACGTTGGCAGTCCAAGTCCAGGGATCTTTCTGTCACAAGGAAGGAAATAAAGATTTTTTAAAGAGCCTACTATGGGCCAGGTACTATGTTAAGCTATAAATATCTAATCTGGGCGTCACAACCATTGTTATCCCTATTTTACAGTTGAGGAAACTAAGGCAAACTGAGGTTAAGTGACTTGCCCACAGTCATACAACTAGTTAAGTGTCTGAGGCTAAATTTGAACTCAGGACTTCCTGACTCCAAGCCCAGCGCTCTTTCCACTGAACCACTAGCTATCTCGATGCAACTTTCCTAAACTTTTAAAACATGTCTCAAAGAAAATGTGATACTACTATGCTTTGGCAAGAACTACCACATAGATTGACTCTGTCAAAGGTTAAATAAAAGCTGCTTCTGGTGTGAATTTCCAATACCTAGTTAAAAAAATTTGGCTATGAAAATGCCAGCCTTCAAACAACAGTAGTCTTATTCAGGCTGTTTTATTTATACTATACACTATAAGGCTAATTCTCTTATCGATCCATTCTCTACAGCGCACATGGGAATTTGAAAGCTCCTACGTGAAATATTTTTAAAGTGATAAAACAAGACGTTGAGTTTGTAGGTGAAAGTTTGCCTCCTGAACAAACTTCTTTAGACCCGGGAATGAAAAGATCTAGATTGTTTTCCAAGGAACTTATCTAAGAGTAAAGCTGTTTGTTATGAAGTTAATTGTTTAAAAGTACTTCTTTACTTAATGCCAGAGTTGGAGAATCAATTACTGATTTGCAGGTTCAAAACATTTTCAACAAAGTTACTAGTTGGCAGTATCGATGCTACCAACAATGGGTGCTAAATATTTTTTTAAGGAATGGAGGTATTATTCTTTGATAAGATTTTCTAGAGCAGTTTAAGGTTAATGAGTTCAAATCCCCTTTTGAATCTGATTAATCTTAGAAGTTAATCTTTCCATGAAGTCAGAATATTTAAGATTAAACTGGCAGGCCTTTATAGAAAATGCTTCTGGCAGAAAGATGGTGATGCACATCATAATTGTGAACTATGCCTACAAAAATTAAGACCTAATACAAATCTGATTCCATGGTTTGTGTAACAGTGAAAGCTGGACTCTTACCCAGATGCCTTTAGAAGTCAAGACTAAGTCTCCACTCCATCTACCCCACAGAGAGGAAGTGTGGTTGAGTAGAAAGATGGAGGGATCAAAAGATTCCAGTTCTAATCCAGGCAATACCACTAAGATGGTAACCTTAGAAAGTCAAGCACTGGTTCTGGAGTCAAAAGCCCTGGGTATAAATCTTTCCTCTGATCCTGACAACCTGTGATTTCGGGCAAAGCATGTATTCTCCCTAATCTTCATTTCTCCAGCCCCAAGGTCCCTTTGGGTTCTAGATCGATGACCCTGAACTCATCATTTCCTCACATGCAAAAGAAAAGCATTGGATTAGATGGTTTCTAAACGGTCTTTCCAGGCAATGGAATGCCAGCCACTCCTATGGCTTCCACATTCTACATCTTCATCCTTAGGACTCATTTTCTGCCTCAGGAGACTGAGAATGAACAGACATTCCACAGTGTTTTCATAGGTCCAGGAAGATCCCTTTCAAGGCAAGCTTTCTTTTCCCTGCTCCTAGTGCAATGAGTTTTTCAGTCTTCTCGAGGTTCGATACTGTTAGCGAGTGGAATACCCTCATTCTGTAATAAATGCTCAAATGTTCAACTTTAAAAAGCATAATTTTCAACTAGATTTCCATGGACAGCCTTTTGAAGCATTCTGGATACTGTATATCACTATAATAACTTTTGCTCCCACCTCCAAAAATAAAATAAGATGCCAACGAGATCAGTCTTCCTGGAAAAGGAGGCAGCCCAGTCACCTACCAAAGAGGAAGGTTACTAGATGGGAAGCACCATTGGCAGAGCTGTGGTGTAGCCATTCCACACTCTAGAACTACTCCCCCAAAGTCATTAAACTGAACATAACTTTTGACCTAGTGATGTCACTACTACGGAGATTCTCCTAAAGATCAAAAGGACCAATATATGCAGAAAGATTCAGAACGGCACTTTTTGTTGCAGTAAAAAACTGGAAATAAAAGGGTACCCATGATATGGAGACTGGCTTTAACTGTGATAAGTGAATGGAATGGATAACCTAATAAATGATAAATGTGAAGTATTCAAAGAAGCTGGGGAAGATTTGCATGGTGTGATACAGTGAACTTAACAGAATCAAGAAAATAATCTGATTATTACAACATCAGAAACAGATACATACTCATGGAAAGACCACTGAAGAAGCCTTGATGCTGTACCTTAAGGATCAGTGAGCACGGCCATCTGACTTAAAAGCTGAAGCCTCCTATATATGGTGATACTACTGGGTCATTTCAGTCATGTCTAACTCTCCGTGACCCCATTTGGAGTTTTCTTGGCAAAGATACTGGAATGGTTTGCCATTTCCTCCTCCAGCTCATTTTACAGATGATGAACTGAGGCAAACAGGGTTAAGTGACTTGTCCAAGGTCACACAGTGTCTGAGGCCAGATTTGAACTGGAGAAGATGAGTCTTCCCAACTCCAGGCCTAGAGCTCTATCCACTATGGCACCACCTGGCTACCCTAGACTATTGCCTCCCTCTATTAATAATGGGAGCTCCTTGAGGGCAGGGACCGGCTTCCTTTACAATTTGTATCAACACTTCACTTTTGCATATTTGCATTTCATGTGAACATAAAGGCACATAGCATCTAATAAATGCATTTTCATTCATTCATTCCCCATTCATTCATCCACACATACACCTGAAATACTGTAAATGAGAATGACTAGAATTCTGATCAAAGTAGTAACAAAAGACTGCTGCTAATGTTCACCTCACTTGCTGCCTTTGGGCAGAGGTGATAAGCCTGAGGTGCAGAGGGAGACATAGACCCTCAAAGATGGCAAATATGTTGATATGTTTTCCTTTGCTACACTTGTTACAAGAAAGGGCTAGGAGGAGGAGAGGTGAAAAAAGTAAGGTTAATAGTGATAGAAAGATGCCCCCCCAACCCCCCCCATCAATAAAGCATTTTAAAAACACAGAACAAAAAAATTCGGAAGGGTACACAAAGGGCAATTTTCTTACTGTGTTAAATTTAATAGAAAGTTTTTCAAATGAGTTGTACATAAGCCGACTAGTTTCACATACAACCCCTTTTGTTCTTTGTATGTTGAAACGTTTGTGGTTGATAATGCTTAGGTTCACAATGAAAGAGAAAACCAAAATTAAAAAAAAAAGAGATGGATGGCTCGAATGTTGTAACAGTATGTCCACAAAATAGGAAAAGAACCCAAGGAAGGCTTTCTGCATTGGTTAGCTCTTCCATGGTAGAGGTTCTGAACCTGCTTTTGTGTTATGGACCCCATTGGCAGCCTGATGAAACTTGTGGACCCCTTCTCAGAATCATGTTTTTAAGTGCACAAAATAAAATACAGAAGATTACAAAGGAAACCAATCATATTGAGATATCATCATCAAAATATTTTTTAAAAAATAAGTTGACAGATCTCTGCGCTATGAAAAGACTGGATGTGGACAAATGCCATATGAGGGTGTTAATAGGTTCTGTTTTGCAATGGCAGAAAGAAAATTCATGCCGAGAATACAGATCCCCTGAAGTATGGCCTAAAGAGACAGTACATTAAATCCCATTAAAGAAATGTTTGAAACTGGTTCTCCTTTCCCAGCCTAGAAGAAAGATGTAAAACGAGCCGTGATCCTGACCTCCACTCTCCTTTTATGTAGAGCCAGGAGACACCTCTGGAAGCTTCCTCCCTTTCTAGAGTGGTGCACCAATTCTATTCCAGAAGCCTTGAGAAGGCTGGGAGGAGACCTTGGGTTTGAGTAAGAATTTAATCAAGGTTGTAACACTGCACCATACAGTCCTCTGATGCCTTGTTGTGATACAGAAATGGCTGTTACTGGAGGGCCAGTTCAGCTCTGGCAGACCCTACACTGGGCCAGAAACGCTTGCAGTACAGGCTCAGGGACACCATAGGGTGGTCTCTGAGTGTACCAGAGAGGGCTCAACTCTTAGTCCACAACACCTCTTAAATGATGTTTGACCACAGCATCAGTGGGAGGAAGAGGAGGAGGGAGGAAAGAAGCAAAGAGAAGAAAAGGAGGGAAGAAAAAGGGAAGGAAGGAAGGAAGGAAAGAAGAAAGAGGGAAGGATTTCCACATAAGAAATCAAAGCACCTTCAAGGACAGAAATAAGTTCCATTACCCCATCCAAAACCTCTCTGCATTTCTTCTACACAACAGGGTACACAGAGGACTATTCTCCAATTTTGAGCCAAGAAAAAAAAAAAAACCCAGCCGTGAGAGCGTAACTGAAATACCGAGAGATGACCGCCCTCCAAAGCAGCGGCATTTTATGCGCACTACACCCGTCTGTGAATGACGTAAGGCTGAGCTGTCCCTCTTCACTGGGCTGACGGGATTCACATCAGCGAATCAATGCCTTCATCCACTCGCCAGCAGTTCCCAACGAGCTACTCCATTCAAGTTCAAAGTCAGGTTTACAAAACGCTCATAAGCTGCATAGTTTGAGATAAATGCAATGCAGACTCTACTGGCCTTGTTGTGCATAGAAGGAATTTTAATCAGACAATTACACAAAAAGGTAGGTGATTATAAGGCATTAAAAAACTGTCCTACACGACTAGAAACATTTTACCAGCAACCCTAAAAGGGGGATGCTGAAATGATACCCAACACCCATCTCCCCTCCATCTCCCGGGCCCCTCCACAGAACGGCAGCCGAGTCTGCTCGAGGGCCGCCCATCAAGGTCTTTCAATGCTGAGAGGAATCCCTACAGGAACAAACACATGACCTGTGGTGCAAAGTGTAGTTGTTTGTATTCAACAGTGCTCTATATGTGGTGAGGTGGGTATTTACAGAAGGGTTAGACAAAATAGTTAAATTGCTAAAGGTATTAAAAAAGGCCTGAGAAAACCTGGTTAAAATAGATGCTTGTATTGCTACTGGTGGGAGTAGACTTTTCTTTCTTTTTTTCAAAAGTAATAAAAAGAGTCGGTTAAAAAAATATATATCCAGAAAGATGTGGATTTGAACTGTAAAAAGCAATTAGAACTTTCCCCTTGGGCTGCTCGAGAGCCCTCAATCAACACTAAGCTGACCTTTTAGTTATAATCCCATTCTTCTCCCTTGACAACACGGCCCAGCTGGGACTTCTCGATGTACTTTGGTGTATGTTTCCTTCCCTAGACACAGCATGTTCCACGGAAGCTTTCTTATTTTGGTTTCAGGCTGCCCTAATCCTCCCTATGCAATAGGTGAACTGCCAAAGCTAAAGATTCCTAGGGGTACCCCCTTGGGGGCTGAGGGTTAGGGGACATGCTGACCGAATGGTGACCCCCGGGGGGCCGGAGGAGGTACCACTCAGATGGGAATCGCCTTCTCAGGCTCAGCTGCCCCCTCTCCACAGCAGACTGGCAGACCATTGTGGTCAGACACGGATCCAAACCCAATGCAGAGTTCATCACAGTCTCAGAGATGCCATACATTTCTCCTTCTGAACATCAACCGGGAACGTGGGCAGAGCAAGCGTCCATGAGACCAGAAATCCCACTTCCAGGTGGGAGATCTGCACAGACCCATTTCTTTGGTGAGCCCCACAAACCACATTCTGCTCTCACGTCGATGTCAAACGTGTGCGTGTGCGTGTGCATGTGCGTGTAACGTACAAGTGTGCACACACACATATAAAAGCACCTTGGTTGTGGTATTTTCCCATCATTCCTTGATAAACGGGAGCCTACAAACCTTGGCAGAGTTTTTGGTTAGGTTCAGTTTTAGCGGAGGTGACCCATGAGCCAGCGCCGGCCTACGGGGACTGAGGGTGCGAGTCTGGAGATGCCCCAGCCTGGCTGTGCAGCAGCTCTGCACACCCTCCCTCCTCAGAAAACGGCCCACTGGAAGCTGCACCTTGGAGCCCACCAGCAAGGATGCGGGAAGCCAGGCCCAGGTGCGGGCCCCTGCTGCTGGAGGGGGTGGGGGGGATCTACTTCTCGGTGAGAGACAGCCGTAAGACCTGCTGCAGCTCGGCCTCCTCCTCCTGGAGCCGCAGCTCCCGCTCCTCCAGCTCTTTGGCGGATAATTCCATGGCAAGCTGCAAATCACTGTCAAAATTCCTGGCCTCCTCCACAGCACTGGGCCGGAGACCATTGGAGCTAGTGAGCAGACTCTCCTGAATAGCCCTGGGAAGAAACAAGGCCTTGTAAGCCACACACCCTTCTCAAGCCACGAGCCCCCTCTTCTGTTCCTAATTCCAACCCTCTCCCCCTCACATTCAACCACACAAGAGCCCTCCATGGGACCAGGGCAGCAGGCTAGATCCCAGGCTGAAGAGGGCACCCCAAAACATCCCATCAGGCTCTTGTGATGCCCCATGGCTGTGATTCATGGGAAGCCACCATCTTGGAAGCTTCCAAGCTTCAGTTGACACAAAGGACAGTGAAAAACCACCGGGGTGGAGGGTGAGGGGGGGAGCAGGCCAAGTCTGAGTGTCACGAACCCACTATCCTAAGGCAGGTCAATGTGAGGAGGACGGGCATGGGGTACAAGGGAGGGAGGGAGGACAAGGTAGCCGGCCCAGGCAAAGTCTCCATGGAAGGACATGGTCACGAAGACATCGATGGGTCCCAATCTGAGCCTGTGCAATGAGGCACCAGAGAGGAGCCAGCCCATGGGCCACACTGAGCAGGGGCAGCTTTCCCCGCAGAGTTCCCTGTCCTTACAAACTTAGAGACAAAAAAGTGAGAATTACCCAAAAAATCCATCACAAAGAAAAGGCTCATTTGTGATGACTGGGGAATGGCCAGGCAAACAGTGGCCGTCAATGAATAGAACATTATTGTCATAAGAAAAATGAACATGAAAAATTCACAGGACAATGGGAAGGCGTGAAGAAAAGAGAATCAGGAAAACAACCTATGTAATGATAACAATGAAGTCAGAAAGAACAGGCCCCCAAACGGAGAGCTGTGCCATCAGCATGACCAAAGTGAGTCCCAGGGCAGAGCTGAGCTAGCAGAGCTCCTCTGCAGAGATGGGGGTCTACAGGCGTGGAATGTTGAAGACATTGTCAGACAGAGTGGTTGTGCCAGTTGATTTGGCTGAACTGCCTTTTTTTCTCTTTCTTCTCTGATCTTTGTTGGGAGGCGATGGTTCACTGGGTAGAAGCGGGGAGGTGGAGGCGATATAAAAACAAAAGATACCAATAAAAATAAGATTTTAAAAACCAATTTGGAACACAGGGGACACCTCATTTCATAGTATTTCTTAAAAAAAAAAAGTAAAAATCTGTTGAAATTATGCTCTACTACCCAGGGGGAGTCCAAAGACATTACCTTTCATACTGTGAGTCATAGAGGTGTGGACTGCTGAGTCCCCCATTCGAAGGCAGCCCCGGAACATCCTGGGGAGACAAAAGAAAGGCGTCAACTGGCAATTCTTGGAGCAGGGAAGTCCATGGCAATCTCTGCCTGTCGAGAAGAACTAGAGAAAATCATCATTACAATATCTATCCAGGCGTCAGGGTCAAGGAGCTGGATCTGCCGTTCCATGGAGGTGGATGCTCTGGGGGAAGCGGGATGCCTTCACAGAGATCCAGGATCATGAGCCTCACACTAAGCCATCCAGAGGTCTAACCCTAAATGTTTGGTGTACCTTATCAGTACCCCAAATAAACGTCTTCACTAAAAGCTGTAAAAAATGGAGAAGAGAATTCTGTGGACCCGGAGGGGTGAGAAAATGATGGCCATCTTCAAATATCTGAAAGACTGTCATTGCGACAGAGTATCAGGCTTGTTCCAGCTGGTCCTAGTGGGCAGAACTGGGAAAAGTGGGTAGGAATTACAAAGAAACGGGCTTTGGCTCAATAAGGAAAACTTGCTAATGATTAAAGCTGGTCAGAATTGGAATGGGATAGATGCACTGGGCAGGGGAGGGAAGGAAGACAGGTGGGAGGAGGAGAAAGAGGGAGAGAGGAAGGAAGGGAAGGAAGGAAGGAAAGGAAAATAAGAGAGAGGGAGGGGAAAGAAGGAAGGAAGGGACAAAGAAGAAGGGAAAGAGGGAGTGAGAGGAAGGAAGAAGAAAGCAAGAGAAGGGGAGGAAGGAGAGATGGAAAAGGGAGGGAAAGAAGGAACAAGAAGGGGGGATTCCACATCACTGGAGTTCTCTGAGAAAAGCCTGGCTGGTGAGTTGGTTTCTGCTCAGGCGTGGGTTCAGACCAAACTCCTTCCTGCTTTTAATGCATCCACCACACCTGGCCTCAGACCCCCTCTGCCTCTTCTCTGCATTCTTCACCTGGGGACTCCTGCCAGTCTCAATCAACCATGTTCTTATGCAAATGTTTGAGAAGAGTCAGAGCATTTTTTCTTAATTTCTTTTTTACTGTGAACTTAACATCACCACTTAAGCAGGAAGAGAGATTCAGAGTTCAAAGTTTTTTGGGTTTTTTGGTTTTTTTTTTTTGAGAAAAAGACTAAACCAGATATGTCTGCTGCCCATGCCTGGCCTGTAGTGCTAACTTCCCTATGTACGAATGTGTGGTCAGGCTCTTATACTTTCATGAGCAGGACACAGTTTTATCTCCCTCATGTCTAGTGATGGGACCTACAGCCCAAACTACTGGCAATGCAGGGCCCTGTGAAAGAAGCAAGTGATAGGCCCTGCCCTCAAGGAGCTTACGAGGTAGCAGGTATATACAGAGCAGGTTATATATACAGGATAAATGGGAAGGTACTAAAATTGAGAGAGTTTGGGGAAGACAATAGTGTTGGCACGTTATGGGCCAATGATCTCAATTTTGATTCCTGTGAATATGACAGAATCTCTTTTAAGAGAGAGTTAGTGAACATCAAGAGAAGAAAGAAATATTTACCAAGAGCCAGCATGGCTTCCCAAGGAAGAAGTCATGCCCAACTAACCTTATGTCCGTTGGTGTAAGGATAATTACTAAGATCAGGGGATTGCTATAGAGAGAGAGGACCTGATTTGAGTGAAGTATTGATGAAGTATCTAGCTCATGCTATTCCCATTTTAAAAAATAGACTCTAGATGATAATAAAATTAGGGTAGATTTGTAACTGAAGGGGGAACAGCTTCATCTGAACCAGAATTAAACCAAAACCAAAATGAAACAAAAAACCCACTAGTTTTACCACTTACTAAACAATCACAATAAAGGGATTTGTCTCTGTCTGAGACAGAGCCACACCAGCATCACAGTATTTTACACACACACACACACACACACACACCCCCTTGGCAAGCACACTCTTAAGCAAAAACACATTTATAAGCTAACAGATGAATGAGCAGAAGAGAGTAACTGAGGAGAGGAATCAGCCACTGGCCAGTGGCGAGGGTGCCAAGCTCTCAGTTAGGAAAGTCTAGGGTTAGTCAGTCAAGAAGCATTTAATAACTCCTTCTGTATGCCAGGCACTCTGTTAAGTGCTGAGGATGCAAAGAAAGACAAAAGCACAGGGCCCGCTGCCAGAGAACGGCCGTCCTAGCGGGCCACACGACCCGTAAACAAGGAACACGAGAACCATACAAGTTGGAGAACCACTGTAAACGGAAGGTAATCTGAAGAAGGAGAGCTACCAGCTTGGGGCAGGGGAAAGGCCTCCTGCAGAAAGGTGGGAGTGGAGCAAGGGGGCGAAGGTGAGGGGGAAGGCAAGTGGGCCCTAAGCGGAGGGCCTGGCAAGGATGGGATACAGCCCAGGCGAAGGCAGAGAGATGGGAGGTGGCAGTGTCGTGGGCCAGCGCAGACCCACAGAGAGGACCTTCTATAGGACCCTGAAGGAAAAGGGGAGCCCCTGGAGCTCCCTGGGCTGAGGAGCAGTGACGTGGTCAGGCCGGCAGCACCTAAGTGGAGGGCGACCTCAAGGCTGGCAGGCCCCCCAGCAGCCACTGTCCAGAGCAGTCCAGTCATGAGCAGAGGCGGGCCTGCACCAGAGGCGTGGCCGACTGGGTGGGGAAGGGGGATGAGAGAGGACTGAAAGGCAGAGACGCCATGAGGCCAGACACCAGCTGTGCAGGGTAAGGATGCACAGGAGGACCGTGAGGCCTGGTGTCCGGGAGGATGGTGGAGGCCTTGACAGTAATAAGCAAGTCTGGAAAGTGAGAGAGCTGTTGTGCACAAGCTGAGCCCGAGATGGCTGAGAGATGCTTCCTCACCCCATGATCAGGCAAATCACTCAGCACCTGTATGTAACAGCCAGGCTCCTGGGGGAGGCAGACACAGCACCGGCCAAAGGTCAGCTGTTAGAGGTTTTACAAAAGGGCAGCAGAGAATACGAAGGCTGACGAGGCCCACTCCTTTCCCACAACGAGGTGATGAGACGCAGACACACATCCCCATAGTACGTGCCAAGTGCTGCAAGGACACGGAGGCCCCTGCCCCTGCGGGACAGACGGTCTGGGCCCTCGATAACCGCAGCCCTGGCTCACTCACCTGACTCCTGCTGGATTCCAGCAAGCTCTGCTGAATGGCAAACTGCATGATTTCATAATCTTCGTCTTGCAAGTGCATGTTTCTGCCATTATCCTGGACGTGGTAAGACTCGGGGATTTCAAACACAGACTGATCAACCTCAAAGTTAGAGACCAGGGAAGCTGGAACACAAAAGCAGACACAGGCTGCTGAGCTGGGGGCAGACTGCCAGTGTGGACGGCTCTTGTCTGCTTAAAACAAGCAGTGCAGGAGGAGCTAAGCCTAAGGAAAAACAGTAAAAAGCTGGCTGGGTCATTCACTGCTCAAACCCAGCCCATGTCCTGGCTGCGTGTCACTGTGGATGGGCATTACAATCTGCACAGAGACAGAGGAAGAGTCCTTTAAAAACATGACCACCAAGAGTCCCCTCGGATGACCAGTCCAGCATCAAGCAGAGCCGCGTGGACGGACGTCGGGCGACCCGCACGGCCTTTCCTCCCAGCCGCAGTCACGTGTGCACGGGAGCTCAAAGTGGCCCTGGCCCGTTTCCAAATTCAATAATCAAGTCTCTGATGGTTTATCTGCTTTTTAAAGGAGAGAGATCAAATCGCAGCAAGTGTGGCAGGAGCCCCTGAGGGAACACCTCTGAATCCACACATATCCTACTGGATGGCCCAGGCACAGCAGGTCCCTGCCCTCAAGGAGCTGCCAATACACTAAGCAAGGCTATATAGGTCACACCCAGCTTACAATAAACAGGAGCTGCTGCCATCTTGCTGTCTCCCGCCTCATCCGTGCGTCTCTGGGTTACGAAGCACTGAGCTGGTCTCATGCTCACCACTGCAGCGGCCGCGACAACTGGCGCCCAACGTGGGGCAGATCGATGACAGGCCTGACAGATACCCCACGGGTGGAGTCTAAACTCCACGAATAGCACTTCAGCAAGCTTCGAGCTTTCAGCCCGACGGAATCGGGTCTCTGAGACGTTTCCCGTCCTTGGGGGGCGGAGAAGGTAAAGGTTTCGCTTTACACAATGGGGCAAAATATAGGGCTTCTCCTTCCCACAGATGAGGAGAATTACGCCAGAGCTTTATATACGGTAGCAAAGAATGAGGGAATAACGATACACCTAAAAGATCTTAGAAAATTTGTGAGGTTGGCTTTTCAGGTATCCCCCTGGCTCCCAGAACAGGGTTGCTTTGAGCCAGGGAGATGGAAGGTGTTTGGGGAGCAGCTGACCTCGTATGATGGTAGTTGCCCTGGAAAAGTTAGGCTTTTAGACTATACCATCTACAATCTTGTAAAACAGTTTCTGACGAATCAAAAGCAAAGAGAAGTCCGGTGCTTTCCAGTCTGTACTCAGACAGGTTCCTCCCTCCCCTCCCCCTCTGCGAGTAGACCTTGCTCTCCCAAACTAAGAAAGGATCTCGCAGACCTCCCTCTCCGGCCACCCCCAGGACACTATTCAAACTTGGGGGAGCTGGAGGACACTTTAAGAAACTTGGTAGTGACCCCTCCCAAGAATCGGGGATTGCGGGAGCAGGATAGTACGGAATTTCCACCAACAAGAACAGATATTCCTGCACAGGATGTTAGAGGAAAGCTTCCTGCAAAAGAATTTCTTGCTGCGCCACAGACTTTGGGAAGTGGGTGTGGTCACCTTGGCGCGCACCCAGCAACTTCCAGGGGTGAAGAATCACCATTACAAAAGGGCATTAGAGAAGCAAAAGAAAAGGGTGTGGATGTTAGTGAATGGGATATTGGCCTCTATCCGGTCATTGAAGAACCTGATCCCTTTAATCCAGGGCAGGTACGGAGGAGGCGTGAAAGTATTCCTTTTAAAACCTTGCTGCAATTAAAACAAGCAGTTGCCCAATATGGACCTACTTCACCTTTTGTAATATATCAATTAGAGGTTATATCTAACTCTATTTTGTGTCCAAATGATTGGAAGGCAATAGCCCGTGCAGTTCTGACGCCTGGAGCTGCTGTCTTTTGGATGGCTGAATTTGTAGATCAGTGCCATATGGTTTCATACCAACTGGCACCTGGACCCCAAGGAAAAGTCCTCTTCGAACAGATGAGTGGCACAGGGGATTTTGCTACCACTGCCCAATAGCTAGGATATGCTGAGGAGGGCTATCATAGAATTGCAGTACAAGCTAGAAAAGCTTGGTCTAGGATACCAGAAAAGGGGCAGGCAAAGGAGTCTATGACCGCTGCCTGGCAGAAACCTACTGAGACATTTGTTGATTTTGTGGCTAGAATTCAGGAACTAGTCGCACGAACAATGGAAAGTTTTACCACAAGGAATGAAAAATAGTCCTACTATTTGCCAAAGATATATAGCAGACCTACTAGAGCCTTTAAGAATTAAATCTAAAGGAGCCTATTTAGTGCACTATATGGATGATATTCTTTGTAGTCATGCCAATTTAGAAGTCCTTGAGCAAATGCTCCAAGAAACAGTTATCCATTCTAACAAACAAAGGGCTTCAGATAGCACCAGAGAAAGTGCAAAAACAACCTCCCTTTCAATATCTGGGATTTCAGCTTGACTTGGAGGACGTCTCTTTACAACCTCCTAGACTTACAAGACAAGGTACAAACTTTAAATGATTTCCAAAGATTGATAGGAGACATTCAATGGATACGACCAAAGATAGGCATTACTAATGAGGAGATGCAACCCTTATATTCTATCTTAAAAGGGGATCCCCACTTAAATTCTCCTAGAAAATGGACCCCTGAGGCTGAACAAAGCTTAAGACAAATCATTAGGAAGTTAGGAAATCACAGCCATCGGGTATCTCCACAGAAGGAGATTGAAGCCGCATTGATAATGGCTCAACAACATCCACACATTATACTTCATCAAGAAGAAAAGATTATAGAATGGTTATACAGCAAAACCAGTAATAAAAGAGTTTTAACTAGTTATCTAGAAGAAGCCTCTATGTTGGCTAAAAAGGCACTTCTCCGTATTATACATCTTAGTGGGCAGAAAGGCACTTTGTGGGTCCCTGTTACAAAAGAAAGACTTGAGACCCTTTTATATTATGATGACAATTGGACTGTGTTATTGAATCTAGGTAATATTCAAGCAGGACAAAAATACTCCTTTGCAAAATGGTCTAACAACTGGCAATGGATATTTCCCAAGATTGTCAGGAATACACCTGTTGATGGCTATAATGTCTATACTGATGCTACTAAAGAAAAGAAAGCTGCTATATATTGTCCTGACTTAGACATTCATACAGTTATACAGACTCCATACACTTCCACTCAAAAGAATGAGCTATATGCTCTTCTACATGCTTGCAAAATACCTCAACCTATTAACATTATTACAGACAGTCATTATGCTGCTGGTGTACTTTCTCACACCGAAACAGCATATATTAAACCTGAAGGCTCACCAATAACAGAATTGTTTCATGAACTTCAATCATGCATCAGATCAAGACAACATCCTCTGTATGTAATACATGTAAGATCCCATACAGATGGATTAGGTCCCATATTTTCAGGGAATAATATTGTGGATTCTATGCTTATAGGCAATTGTCAAGAGGCACAAGAAGGACATGGTAAATATCATATGTCAGCCAGGTCTCTACGTCGCCTTTATGGCATAACCAGAGAACAAGCCAGAGGTATAGTGAAAAGGTGCACTCAGTGTGTCCCTTTCAATTCACCATCACTTCGCTCTGGTATCAATCCTATAGAACTTTTTCCTAATTCTCTATGGCAAATGGATGTTACCCATATTCCACCATTGGGGAAACATAAATTCCTCCATGTTACTGTGGATATATTTTCTGGATTTTGTATAGCTACTCTTCAAACAGGAGAAACTGTTAGACATGTTATTAATCACCTTTATCATCCTATAATTGGCCCACCATGTGTGATAAAAACTGATAATGGGCCCGCTTATACTGCCAAGCAATTACAAGTCTTTTTTCTAGAGTTTGGCATACAGCATATATGTGGTATTCCTTATAACCCAACTGGTCAAGCCATTGTTGAACGAATGAACCAAACCATCAAAACTTTCTTTCAAAAACAAAAAGGGGGAGCTGAGCGGTTATCCCCTCAAAGACAGATTAATAAAATCTTGTATACTATAAATTATTTGAAATTTGATGGTAATGACCTTACCCCTGCTATGAAATTCTTTTTACCTCACAATTCACCTACCCTAAATCATGATGGCCCAACAATATACACAGATAAAAAGAAATTGGTCCTGTGGAAAAATCCCAATAATGAATGGGTAGGACCTTTCAGGGTACTAACCTGGGGACCAGGGTATGCTTGTATCTCAACAGATGAAGGAGCTAAGTGGGTGCCAACGAAAACTCTCAAGATTGTCCCTACTCAGGAGACACCCCAGGAAGAAAAGGAGGAGACCCAGCAAAAGAAAGAGAAGAGGACAAAACAGACATGGCAAGACAGAGTCGTCAGCTTCTATCGGTGTTCATCCTACTTAGCCTGGCAATACCTGCGACAGGAGCAAATGAGACAGGGCCATACCGGTGGGCGATCTACATGGACCCCCGTGGCCTTGAGTAGTAGCTTGGGGTGAACAGTTGCCTAACCTTGTGTTCCAGGGAAACGCATCACGAATGGTGAGGAATGAGTTTGACCTCCTCACACAAACTAATGCGACTTCATCGCCAGTAAAATACAACTTCACAGGACTGTCCATGCGGCAGCCGCTTCGTTGGTCCCGCACCAACAACGTGGAGGGCTCCATACAACTGCAGAACGTCACCCTTGCCATGACCATTCCCGGCATGGGGCTACACCAGATTCACCTACTTGGCGGACAGGGGATGCCCTGCTCCAATGCCACCTCCCTGCGCGCGGGGGGTCTGGACAAATGTAAGGTGAACAGTGACTCTGGGTCTGGTTGGCCTCACGTGGAGACTTGTGTAGCGGCGCACCGCCTTTGCATGAACTTAAGTGGGACTGTTGTTCAATCATGGCATGACACTTACACATGACAATTCTACTTACAACTGGGCAGTAATCAGAAACCACTTGAATGGTCTATTCTTAAATAACACGATAGAATCTGACATTGAAACTCTATATAGATTAGCCTCTGAAATCAAAAAGGCTTCTGAACAGGACTTGAATCCTGACAAAACAGCAGAGAAAATCATACATTGGTTTGATAATGCCTCCAATTGGTGGGGGTCATTTGAGTATTGGATTATACTGATTGTTGTAGTGTGCTTACTTTTATGCTGTTTACCTAATATTGTGGGATGTGTACTAAAAGCTATTATAGAGATGATTCGCAAAATCTCAGCCAAGTACAAGTCCTAGCAGAGATCCATCCGCATAGGCAGCTCCTCTAAAACAAAAAGGGGGAATTGACACAGGAATTGTCACGGGGCTGCACCCTGCCTATCGGAGTCCTGGCTTCCAAGCAGGAAGGTGAGGGTCACAGTCTGTTGTGGGAAAGCAAGGAGGTTTTAACTGACCTCTCCTCTGTGGACACGCAGCAACCATGGCTGGTTTGGCTCTCCTCTGAATGGTTAAGCGTTCCCGTGCACATCCTGTTCACGACCCTGACACGAGGCCTGCATGCTATGAGGGGATCTACTGACTGGCTGGAGGGCTCTGATCATGCAATCCCAAGGTGCCTTGAGGGCTATAAAGGTCACACCCAGCTTACAATAAACAGGAGCTTCTGCCATCTTGCTGTCTCCCGCCTCATCCATGCGTCTCCGGGTTACTGAGCACTGAGCTGGTCTCATGCTCACCACTGCAGCGGCCGTGACACTTTGGAATATAGCAGAACTGAAATCTGATCATTTAGTTTAATTTCAAACAGACCTTTTAGGAAGTGCACATTAATGAAAAAAGAAAAAAAGTTCTCCACATATTCTCACTACTTCATTTTTTTTTCTTTTCTTTTCTTTTCTTTTTTTGCTTTTTGGTGAGGCAACAGGGGTTAAGTGACTTGCCCAGGTTCACACAGCTATTAAGTGTCAAGTGCCTGAGGTTGGATTTGAACTCAGGTCCTCCAGACTCCAAGACCAAAGAGCTATCACTACTTCATTTTTCAAGGTAACAAGGCAGAATGAATGAGGACCTGGACTGGAAGTCAAAAAGATGTGGGTTCAGATCCTGCCCCAGACACCGGCTAAGTCACTGTCTCCTCTGGCCCTGCTCACCTGGGTCGGCGTGCCCCCCGTCCACACTCTGGGCAATGGGCTCTTCAGCTGTACTGCAGCCATTGACATTTCCAAATGTAATCCGTGCGTTCAAGACGTGAAACAATGGAATTTCTAGGGAAAAAAAAAGTGTTTTCATTGGAATCCATGACGTCTACTTCCCCATGCAAAGCGACTGTGGCTTAGATTCACTTTCTAAAAAGCAGGTCCCCCAAGCCCTGACAGCCCCACACTGCCTCCAGAGCTGGGGCCACCCCGGGTCACAGAAGCAGCTGTATCAACGTGTCCCAGGGCAAAAGGGCAGAGATGGACCTTCTGACCCCACAATCCTGGACCTGAACTGCGTCCAAATGTAAGAAACCAAAACCAGAACCTTCCCTGGTGAACCTGGCCCCTTTCATAAGGAAGTATCACATATTAAGGTTTGAATTTAACAGGATTCACATTAAAATAACCAAGGCATCAGACGGATATACAAATCAATCGTCTTTGGGCCTTAAAATTAAGTGGTTTATTTTCTCCAACAAACGACCTTCATTCCCATGTAAGACTCACTCTATACAGAATCAAGAACCAGAGAATATGGTGTAAATTAAAAGGATTTAAAATTACAAACTACACATCAGTCTGGCGCGGGGAGTCCACCGTCGGCCTACGGGCCTCTCTAAAGGGCTTTTCTGCCAGTACAAGGAGGTGGTGAAGAAGCTGGTACACGAGTCACTAGGCTCTAACCCTCTCCAGGGCTCAGGAAGGGTCACGTTCGAGTCAAAGCCAGGCAGCTCATCCTCTGCAGCAGGGCGGGCACCCACGGCACACCACCATCAGCACCACCGCATCAAGTTCATCAGTCTCTACAAAGAGGGCCATCCCTGGGGGGCTCCCAGACGCCTCTGACTTCTCACAGGACACATCCCTAGAAATTGCCTGAGTCCTGAAGCTTGTGCTTACTTTAGTTTACAAAAAGAGCACAGGAAATCACAGAGAGGCAGACCTACCAATTTTGACAGGAAATCCGGGCGGGAACTCTAGAGTGATGAAATCTCTCAGTCTAGCAAAATGGGCGCTGGTTCTGGCCATGAGGTCAATGATGGGAATGACCTGCTCCACCAGGGACAAAGGGAACTCTTCACACATCCAAAGCATGGCTTTAAACCTGTCAGATCAACAAAGACAACGCTGGGCCCATCGCCATGGCCCGGGAGCCCCCCCAGCCGTCGGGGCTGCCTGCCGCCATCTTAGAGAGGGAGCTCCAAGAGGGGAGGGCAGGGACTCTCACTGCTCCACAGGCATCCTTGGCCCTTCTTGGGGCTTTGTAAAAGCATTTTCACTCCTTCATTATTTGGCTAACAAGGAAATCAGATTCCTCAGACATAACGGGCTAGATGCCACCACCTCACTCCTTCACAAACATTGCTAGTAATTAAATTCAAAACACATTTATCGAGTGCCTACTATATACAAAGCATCTCAATGTTCAGAAACCAAGCTTACAAAAACAAAACTCCAAGGAATCCAAGCCGCACGGGCTTTCACTTCCACAGCCTCGGTCTGAACCTGAGGTGGTGGAACAAGTCTACGTTTTAGTGACCCTTGACAGTGGACTGAGGGCAGAGTTAGCTATTTTGAAGGCATAGAATGACAGGTGGTGAAGATTACCCCCTCCTGGTGAGACTGAGGCTCACCAGTACAAGCACGGACACAAGAGAGAACCTCCCCCCATCGTATAGGGTGGGAGAAAGGAACACGGCCCAGGAGCTTGCCGTGTCTAGTCATGTTTTTCAGTCACATTAGAACTGGAGAACATTGGAGCTGGAAAGGTTGGGGGGTGGGTTTTAAGCATGAAAAGAGGAAACACCAAACACTGACATGCACTAAAACAGAAAAGGCATGCGTCCAAACAAGAATTCTGGAAGCGAGAACACAGCAGGCCCTGGCTCCTTTGCTGCTGCCGTCAGCACCTTACTTTTGGGTTCTGATGGTAAGCTCCTTTGGTCGTCCTATGTCTCGGTCCTTGAGATCAAACTCTTCATTGAAATACTCCTCGGGCGTGATGGCCGTCGGGTTATTTGCTGTCGCACACTCAGTTGTGAGGTCCTGCAAAAGTGACCCAGGAGAGCACTGCACACACACGGCCGTCCTGCCGATGCTGCCCACTGAAACCCCAGTTTTGTAGAGACTGTACCCACGGGCATGAGAGAGAAGCTCAAATACTGAATGTCTTCAATGGAGAGAGCACTGTCAGCCACTGAATAAAACATTGGCATGAGTCACAAATGCATCCACCACCAGCCTAAGGAGCCTAATGGCTTCCCTTTTCAGTAATTAAGAAATAAAATGTGCTTCATCTCTCTCCATTCCGTGAACACTTTCTTGTCACAATCCTTTAACAAAGAGGAAAAATGCCTAGTCCCCCCTCTGTGGCAGACAAAGGCCCACAATTTCAAACATCCGCCTATAATCCTCCCTGTTCCTCCTTCACGCTCTAGGTCTCGACATTTGTAAAAGGAAAATAAAAACACCTCCTCTCTCTCTAACCTCAGAAGGCACCTTTGGACCACCTCAGTGTCCTCAGCCTTTCCCAGGGAGCTCCCGGATTTACTCGGGGGGCCTTGGAATGCCCACTGCACTTACCCCCTGAGCACCAAACTGGTGTTCCACAGTCCCCAGCAAGGATTCCAAGGGATTCCTATCAGCTATGGAAGGAAAAACATACACCTTAACTCAAAGTGCTACGTATCAGTCACATTCCCCTAGCAAGCAAGCCTCTGGTACACTGATGTGTCTGACTGGGCCGGGGCTGGGAAGTCAGATGGGAAGACGGGAGCTTGGAGGGCCAGCTCCATCACCTTTAAAGGTTTTCCCTAACTGGCCAAGCCCTGCTACCCCCACCAGTAGGTGAAGCTTCCTGCTAGTAGGGCCTATTTGGTTCATTTCTCATCGTGCTATCCACAGCACTGAGCCCAGGGCCGGACAAGTCACTAGCACTTAATAAATGCCTGTTAATGGACTGACTGATGACCACTGGAGAATGTAGGTCTTCTCATGTAGAGGAATCAGGAAACCTGGGTTCCAGTTCTGACTCTGCTACGGCTCGCCAGGAAAACCTAATGCTCTAAGCCTCACCTTCCCCATCTGTAAAACGGGGTTTGGGAGGATGCAGAAAAGAGATGGCCTCTAACACTCATAAATTTTATGAACTTTTAAGTTATTTAATATCTGTGAATCTCTCAGGCTTTTATTCTCACTGATGAAAAAGGTGGCCTGAAGGGAAAGAAAAAAATGAATCCATTACAAGTTTGGGTTTTCTTTTTTCAAACTGGATAACACTTGGAAAAAACTATTTAAGACTACAATTATCCCTTCCACATCACATGAATACATGAAAATGTGGCCTTCCTGCTTTCTTTACTCAACAACTCAACAGACCTTGCAACAAAAGGCCCTGTCATTCGGGCCCGACCCCCCAAAAGTTACCTTTATATCTCTTTTTTTCTTCCTCTGTCAAATGTTCTGTTCGTATTTTGGTTATCACACTTACATTGTTTACTGTGTAAACCTTTGGGAAATTTCCAAAAAAAAGAGACCAGTTACCCACAGAAAATCAGAATGTCAACATCAGAACTTTAAAAATGAACCAAGCGCAAAAATTCTGAACCATTGGAAAAAAACAGGAAATGGTGAACACAAACTCCACTTCCGGGGATCCCTGGCTATGATCAAACCTACAAAGCTCCAGGTTTGCAAATACAACAGCAGCAAGTCACTCCATGAGAAGTAAGCAGTGACATCCCTATGGGTCGATTCACCATCCTACTGGCACTGCTTTCTCCCTACAGTTCTGTCATGGGAACATGTCACCCATGTCTAGGTTTTCAGGCTGATCTAGGTTTTCGGGCTGAATTTCTTTCTTCCGTCATCTCTCTTGTGCTTTAACAGAATCGGGTTCTAAGAGTATCTGGCATAGGCAGCCATCTGCTGGACGAAGAGGAATAAGGAACGCAAGGTTCTCTGAGCCTAGGAGACTGGGAGAAATGAGCCAAGGACAGTGGGTTGTTTTGTTTTAACTATTTGGATGGCACTTAACCCACACCAACATGATTGGGGAATGGGATATTTGGGTTAACCAATAGTCTGGTTAACAGAGTTCCAATTGAGAGCTCACTGAGGGGTTGCCAGTTTTCAAACTTATAATAAAGTCACCACGTCGAACACAACACTGAATTCAGAAGGCATTTCGGGATCTCACTGCACCTCTGGGTCATCATTATGACTGTTGTCTCATCATTAGGCTACAGCTCAGAAGAAAGGCCACAATTAACAGAAAGCTGTAGTATATGAGATCTCAGGGAAACAAGCTTTATTCTACCACACACAAAAACCCAAAAACCAAAAAATCCAATCCCTGATATAGTGACTGAAGTGGTAGAAACTCTTCCATTGTGATTAGAATTAAAAAAAAAAAAACTAACAAAAGCCAATTTTTACTATTTAAAAAGAAAACTCATTTTAAAAACAAGTAAACAACTGTGTTAAATTTGGAAACTTTTTTTTTTAAAGGGGCTGGCCTGGGTTTTGCTTAGAGAGTCTGTACTCACTCTCTTTCAAAAAAGCTTCCCCCTTCTAGGAGTTAAGTCTTCCCAAGTCAGACCCAATAGCAGTTACTTATTCAAGTCCTTCCCCCAGACCCCAATCACCTTGAGGGTTAAAGTGCCAGGAAGGCCCAGAAGAGGCCTTCGTTTGCATAGGAGCTCAAAAGCCATATGAAATCTTATTTGAAGAGTTTCATTTTACCTTTGCTTCGTAACCATTAACAACTTCTGCTTTATCTGTCCTCCAGCCCCAGAATCCGGATTTAGTTCTGATAAAAAGTGAACACCACAAATTGTACATGTACAACATGCCATTCAGATTCACCCCTCTAGTCTTTTCATTTTTTTTTTCCAGCTGAATTTAGCAAAAGAGGTGGGATTAAGAACCTTGGAAACTACAGTCATCTTGTCAACATTAAAGCAAAGAGAGGGCCAACGTCACAACCTCCCTCCCTCCCCACTCTCTAACCAGTAGGCCCCAGGCCTGGCAGGGAGATCTGCAGCAGCAGCATGGTGAATGCCTCACTAGCCCAAGGCAGCTGGGGACAGTGGGAGGAACCTGGGAATCCACCTCGGCTGACACTTAATAATTGTGTGACTTCCCCTTCTGAGGATGTTTCTTCATCTGAAAAATGGGAACAATATTCAAACTCTCTACCTCGAAGATCTGGGGCGAGAATCCAATGTGTGAAGCACTTTCCCGTTAGGATTCTCTCTAGATGACCGCAGGGGCTGGGGGAGTTCTTGGGCATGAGCCCCGGGGTCATAAGAAGGGAGGCAGACCACCACAAGAGATCCTGCTAGATGAAGTCAGCCCTGAGTCAGGACTTACATTATCCAAATTAGCAAGCTCTCATCACCAACTTGGACTTCTATAACAAATTGATTTTCTTCAATTGAGGAATTCTTAGAACAATGAAGCACAGGCCATCCCACAGCTCAGAAAAGGGCGGGGGAGGAAAGGAAGAGAGACGCCATTATTGTGGTGGGCCACGTAGAAAACCCACTACAGCCTGAACCATTAATGGGCGTAGTCATGTGATGTCAGGTTTGGCACACTAGGAGAAGGCTGTTAAAAGCAGCATTTGAGTAGTTGATTCCAACTCTGTCCTATCTCAATACCACACCAGCAGCTGAGCCTTGGGCAAAGTGCCCAAATACCCAATCGTTTAACTCAATGTGTTCCCACCCAAGGCCACTACTCATGATGGGAGAACCCTGATGGTTTTTCATCAGAGAGAAATCTCACCATTTACTCAGGAGCCATTGCAAGGCTCCGCCCCTTTGTCTAGGACATCACACCCTCTTTCATGGTCCTCCTCTGACCTCGATTTGTCTACAACTTGGGTGCTGGTCACATTCTGCCTGGCTCTGGTCCTAATTCACAGTAGAGGAAAAGTCATCCAAATCATAAGGAAAACCCACTGGCTTTTATTTCTTATGGTTTCAAACAATCTAATTTTTTCTTTAAATTCCCTTATAAAGGAAGTTCTTTTCATAAGAGTATTATGGAGTAATTTAAAAGAATCATTACAAAATTGATGTATCAAAAGAGATCAGAATATGGAGTCCTGTTGTATCAGACATCTCTGTAATCAACATTAACCGAGTACAGAAGGGATTTTATTCTCACTGCTTCTCTGCAAATTATCTTCTTCCTACCTAATGACCCCACACCTCTAAGGGGGCAGGAAGAGGCAGTAAGAGAAAACACCTCAAAAGGGCATATAAAAATCCTGAGGCCTAAGAGTTTACATTTCAGAAAGACATAACCAAGGTGGGGAAAGGGCTTCAGGGGCCTCTGAAATGCAGCCTCATTCCCCTGGACCGTTTATTTGATATATTTTGTCACAAATGGACAGGAAAAAGTTAAGAAATCTCTACCCATTTCCTAATTCATTCCAAACATGTTTAGATTACATTTATCAAAAAAGTTTGAATCCATGTGATGTCCAGCCTTAGAAGAAATCCTTGGCTTCTATCTTCCACGTCCTTCTCCCTACTCTAGCAGATGAAGACTCTGTCATGTGCATGAACCTTGGTGGTAACTACTCCTTCCTACCCACTGGGACCAGCAATCCTGGCATTCCTGTGCCCTGTGACCCAGCCAGCCTCTGACTAGAATGAACGGTACACAGACACTGGGTAGCCATTAAAGCCCAGACACTCTATCTTGGCTTTTACCAGAATTTCAGTCCAATTCTCGACAATGGACTGTGTTTCCAATCCAAGGATTCCAAGGGCTATGACAAGTGCCTTCTTCTCCCTCAGCACTGCCTAGCTCTGGTCACCCTGCTGGCTCTGGCTTGCCTTTCCTCGCCTACTGATCAGCGCCATCTTGGAAAGGGGACAAGGCCCCAGAGGCTTTCAAGGTAAGAAATGTTCCTTCCAACTACGGCTCATTTCGACCCTAATTCTAAAGCCAGAAAGCTTTGTGCAAACCAGAGCCCCCTCGCTGACTAGAGCGGCCAGACATCAAAGGAGAAAATGGACTGGGGCTAGATCCCTTCTTCTCCTTGAGAGGTGCTGCCCTGCATTTTGGAAGACGCTCTCAAACCAACTGGCATGCTGTGTAACTGTGACTGTGGCCTAAGAGAAAAGGCTTCATCTTCTTACCCAAGTGTGTCCATAGAGACAGACTGGAAGGAAGAGATGGAGAAAAATGACCACAAATTGGCCATCAACAAAGAGGAGAAAGAAAATGTCTAACTATAAGTTTTACAAACACTTGTACCTGGAGATTCCAATAAGGCGAGTAACTGTACAAAACTAACTGGGCCCACAAAGCCTCATTCTCCACAGTCATTCAAATGACTCCTCAGAAAAGTGACCCAGGGGTCATTCCCAGCTGGCCATCTCCCCTGCTGGAAGGCACCTCTTCATCTAGTCCAGCGGCCCTGAACTCTCCCTCCCACATCTCCCTGGAGTGCTCTAGGGCTCCCCTCTGGCCCATCACACCTTCCCTCATCTTACACCTCAAGGCCTCGTGAGGCCCACACTCCTGAGGACAGGAGCGATCCAGGTTTCCATCTCCCTTATCCCTGGTGCCTGGCCCACAGAAGGCACTTCTGGGTGTGAAACAGAGCTGGGAAACAACCACCACCATCGGAATTTGGGTCAATGGTAAGCTGCCTGAGGGCAGCTTGGGTGACTGTTCTTACCTTTGCATCACCAGCACCAGGCAGTGCTTGACCCACAGTAGGTGCTTAACAAATGCTTGAATTATGCATTTAATCGATTAGTGCCTTAGTAAGTGTCAGGGTTGGAGGGGTAAATCTCATGCAAATTCTGTGACTCTGTGTGCCCAAAGTGTTCCTGACTCTCAGCTGAACCGGAATGTCCTGGCCTTTTAGTCCACCTTCACCAGGGAGCAAACCATGATGACCACAGATGCTCTCTAAGCTCATTTATCAGCAATGAGGGATGGTGACCACTACATTAGGAAACAGAGACCTGGTCTTGTGGCCATTCTTGATGGATTCCTCCCAAGAGCCCTCAAGAAGCCGGTGAGATGCCTGCGAGGCCGAACAGCCCCAGCAGAGGGGACCCCTGCTTCTGAACCAGAGTTTGGAAAGGAAGACGCTGGGCCATTCCCCAAACTCCACCAGGGCTCAGAGTCATCAGCATCAGCTTCTAGCCAGGCTGATCCCCAAGGCTCACAATCATTAAAAATGAGGGGCACCAGGACAGAGAAGAAAGTAGAGGCTTTCCTATTGGTTCTAATTTTTAATTACAACATCACTAATCTGAAAATATGTTTAATAAGAATGTATATATATAGCCTATATCAGACTGTGCGCCATCTTGGGGAGGATGGTGGGGAGAAAGGGGAAGAAAAATTTTAAAGTCAAAAGCATATGGAAGTGATTGTTAATAAATCAAAATAAATTAATAAAAAAAAAAAAGAAAAGAAAACGGAGGCTAACGCTCAGGTAACTCTCGCTGACGTGACAAGAACAACGGGGCCCGCAGGCCAGAACCACAGGAACATGGCGGAACACGAGAGGAAGGGCTTCCCTCACACCTCCAGTCAGCTACCTAAGCCTGAAGTTTTTTCTAAATTGGTCGCAGAACGACGTGGTGGAAGAGCACAAGATTCGGGGCCGGAAGACCGTCTTCTGGCCAAGCCCAGGCCTTGCTGTTTACTACCTGTGTGACCAAAGACAAGTTGTTTTACTGTCCTGAGTACTGTTCTCATGGGTAAAATGACAGGCCTGGACGAGATGACCTCTAAGGCCCCTTCCAGCTCCAAATCCTGCTGTGAGCCTAGGAAACCTTCCGGTTTGCTCAGCCTTCTATGTTGTTTAAAAATCTTTATAGAATAAAGGTAGAAGAGTTAAGAAAATGCATTAAAAAGAAAGGAAATAGTAAAAAAAAAAAAAAAACCTGAACAAATTAAAATATGCTTTCATTCTTAACTTGAACTTTTACTGATGTGTGAATCTGATTTATAGAGAAATGGGTGTGATGTCCTAGGCAAACAAACAGGGCTCTCCTGAGCTCCCTGGAGAACCATCCTAGATATACTTAGGCCAAAGAGCACAAGAAATAATGGCGAGGCCAAGGAAACTTCCTCCAACTCTCCTTTCTCATCTCTTATGAGAACCTCCTGGCATATTAATGAATGAAACACAAAAGTGAATCAGCGGTAATGGTAATTTTGGAAAACTGAGGCACAGAGCTCTCTAAAACGGCTCTTCCTGTAGAGCAAAGAAAATAAAAACAACCATTAAAGCTCGTAAGAAGAAACACAAACCTCCAGTTGTTAAAATGGCCACAGAACTAACAATCACCTTCAACACAACATTGGCCCAATCCAGAAACATAAAGAAGATACCACTCGTGAGTGGCACAGGCTGCAGATGGGAAGAATATCTAAGAATTAAAACATAGCTGGACTCCATAAAGACCAGTGAGGAGGGGCCCATAAAAGAAGATGGAGACACATTTTCCCCAAAAGGCTTCTAACTAATGAACTATAAAAATCAAGTGCCACACCGGGTGTCAGCTGCGGTTTACGCTTGTGAGAATCAAGGCTGGCTTTGAACCTACTGGTATTTATCATGTCACATTCTCAAGGTCCCAATGGAGCCATCACTTTCCGTGATGTATAAGAGGCACTCAAGGGTAGCGGTGAAGGGATTAGTCATTAACATACAGAGTTTCAATGAGTACCTTTCAAAAGCGATGTTTCTAGTCTCCAGGCTGGTATTGATGACGGGAGACGTGAGGCGCCTCTCCACCTCCCTCCCTTTGGGTTTCATGGAATCCAACGTGAGGCGTTCCATTTCTTGAGAGAGATCAAAATGTTCGGTCGTGACGACTTTGTCATCGTGGTTAACTTCCATCAGCTCCGCCCAGCTATCTGTTAACATTCGACATAAGGAGAACCAAGTGTGATGGAAAGACGAGAGAGAAAGAAGAGAACCCCACTAGCACTGACAGTCATTCTCCTTCAAATTACTCCTGCAAGATCCCACTTTATCAAATGAGGTAAATCCGTTTCAAATGACCCAAACATGGGTTCTCTTTGACTGGCTTCCCCTCATGCCCAACAAGCTTTTGGAATCACAGAACCATGGGGCCGTGCAGATGACATAAATGTAGATGCCCAGCCCACTCATTTTACAAAAAAGGAAATTCCCTTTAAAAAAGCATGCTTGAGATGATCGTTAAATCAGCTTGCAATCTAATCTTTAAAAAGATGTTTAAAATCAAACAGCAATTTTCCCACAGCTTTGGATTATCTGCTGGGGATCAGAAGTTATTTGAGCCTGCCACGCCAGGTACCACACTAGGGCTGAGGGGAGACAAAGGCCTAACACATGGTTCCTAGCCTCCAGGAGTTTATAGTCTGCTTAGAGAGGCAATCAGATACACGTACACGTAACAAACACAAGGTAAGAAATATGTGATGAGTGGGAAATACTATTGTTTCGCTTTCTCGTCTGCTATCAATACGAGACGTAATCACGTCATGGCAACAACAAAGTCCTCCCTGCATTCAGATAAACGTCAACATTCATTCGGAAGCCGTTTCTAAGGCTGAAATCAGCATATTCGGTGAATACTAGGAATACGGAATCACTTACCCTCTCCCTTAAAAATGAAGCTACGTCTTCCTCTTATCCAGCTCATGTTTTCAAAGCCCAATAACGTGATGTCAACACGTAGTTTGGCCCCACTTTTCCAAATGCGACAAACGTCATTGGGACATATCCTAGAAACCAATGGCACTGCAAAAGAACATATGTGCAACTAATTAAATCCATCAAAGATAAAAGTAGAAAACCTAAATGGCAAGAACTCTTATTTTAATAACAAAGGTGGGGGAGAGGAGTTCAGCGCCCATCCAAGAGAAGCAGAAGCTTAGGAGAGGCACACTCACCAGTCACCTGTTCAGCAATAAGTTCCTACTGTGTGCTAGGGATGCAAACAGTAAAACAAGTCCTTGTGCCCAGGATCTTAAGTGCACACGTAGAAATTGATCACACACACACACACGCACACACCGCGACAGGCAGAAGCTAACACCTGAGCAAAGTGTTAAGGACACTGTGAGGATTCTGAGAGGTTGGCATGAAGAGCAGGCACATCTAAGTACGAGGGGAATGAAGGGAGGGAGGGAAAAGGGAAGGAAAGAAGGGAGGAAGGAAGGAAGTTAGCATTTATTAAGTGCCTGATATATGCCTGGTATTGTGCTAAGTGCTTTACAATTATCTCACTTTATCTTCACAAGGTAGGTGGTATTATTATCTCCACTTTATAGATAAGGAAACTGAGGCAAACAGAGGTTTAGTGACTTGCCCAGGGTCACTCAGCTAGTTAAGTGTCTGAGGCTGGATATGAACTCAGGTTTTCTTGGCTCCGAGCCCAGTGCGGCATCCACTGCCCCATCTGCGGCCTCTAAGCGGGCCAATCTGACTGGTCCACAGAGTGTGTGAGGGGGAGTAGCGGATTAAGGATGTCTGGAAAGGCAGGCTGGGACCAGACTGTAAAGGGCATTGAGTGCCAAAGAGAGACAACTGTACAATGAAAGCGGTGCCCTCTTGCATCCAGCTCTCTGGGGTAAGGAGGGCCTGCAATCAGGCACCCTCATACCGCTTATTGCCATCACATTTCCTGACTTCCTCCATCCAGGATACAAGGTGACTTTCCATCCCTCTTACCCCAAGAAGTCCCCTGCCGTCCACCACCAGCCCAAACCTTCCTGCAACGCCCACTGTTTCAGACATTAAAGGTTTCTTATCAATCTGTTGCCAGAGGTAGACCAGGTTTCCTCAAATTAGTGTCTTGGAGATTACTCACATTGTAAAAATGGTATTTGCTTTGCAAAAGGATGTGGTACAGAGTCCCATCACTTGCTCCCATTCTTTCTAAGGGTTTACAAGTCATCGAAGAAACCAAGATGGGAAGTGAGCAGATCATCAGAAACAGAAAGAAACCATCTCTGAATGACAACTACATCCCATTTACAAAAGCTTGTTTTAATCTGTGAGAAAACATGATATGCTTTACAAAAATCTGCCTTACAAACGTCTTGGAGAAGCAAGTTTATTCTGGCATTCAGTAATTTCCTTCCTAGCTGTAGCAGTAAATTTCAGAGACTGGAGCTTAAAATTTAAAACAGTAATAAATTCAAACCACCCGGCCACTTACCCCAACTAGTGAATTCCCATTTCATCTGCACGTAAAAATCAGGTGCCTGGAAGGGACAAACAAAAATGCCAAATTCACTACAAATGAGGATCATTAATGTATACTAAGAATTACCAAACAAATGTTAGTATAATAATTATTAGCTATTATGAGAAAATAAATGAGTCTAGTACAATTCCCAGATGCAAGACAAATACACAAAAATCATTTACATCCTACAAATAAAGAATGTGAAAATGTTTTTAAAAAAAGAAACTTCATTTATAACAGTAAGAAAAACTATTACGCCTCTAGGAATGAACTTTGAGATACACAACCTTCATAAAGACAATGAAATAGCAGTACATGGTCACTACAGCAAGAACACTGACAAAAACAGGTCACAACAAAAGACAGATTCCCAGAATGCCAGGAAGGTTCCACTTGGGAACTGGAGGTGCTGCATGATAAAAGGTCCGCCCCAGAGCAGGGTTTCCAGGAAAGGGCCTCCTCTCACACCTAGGCAAACCACAGCCAGAAGATATTCCCCACTCCCACCCTGGGGTCATCGAGGTAACATAGTGGACAGAGCGCTGGTCCTGGAATCAAGAAGACCTGAGTTTAAATCCTGCCCCTTACACTTACTCGCTATGTGACCCCGAGTTTCCTCATCTATACAATGGGCATAAAAACAGCACCTACTTCCCAAAGTTTTAGGAAGTATAAAATGAAGTAATATTTGTAAAGCCTTAGCACAGTGCCTGGTACCTAGTAGGCTCTATATAAACTCTAGCTATCATTATTATATTATTAATTAGTATTATTATCAAAAATGCTAACAATCACAGGAAGAAGAAAATAACACAGGAAATAGAAATCAAAATACCACTTTACTGATGACAGAGAATGTTTCCCCAGAATAGCAGGTCTTAAATTTTTTGGTCCTTTATACTGTTAAAAACTACTGAGGACCCCAAAGAGCTTTTGTTTATGTGGGTTATAGCTATCAGTATTTACCATATTAGAAATTTAAACTGATATATTTAAAAATATTTATTTAAATTTATTTTAAAAATAACAACAAACCCATTTCTTGCTAATATAAATAACATTTTTATGAAAATTTAACTTTACTTTACAAAACGGAACAAAATTCAGTGAGAAGAGCAGCCCTGATTTCTATGTTTTTGAAATCTCTTTTAATGTCTGACTCAAAAGAAGACAGCGGGGTCCTCAGAACTGCTCCGACATTTGATCTGTTGTGACATGTTGTTGTGGGTGAAGTATATGAGAAAATCCATCCTTCCCCAGAAATAACACTTGGAAAAAGAGGAGTATTTTAATTGGCAAGTAAGGTCCTAGATGGACCTCCTGAAATGATCCCACCAACCATACTTAGAGAAATGTGGCCCTAGAAATCTATCCATCTCAACAAAAACTGAGAAAACAAATGAGTCTGCTGGCTAAGCCAACGCTACAGAGAACCTAGAAAAAAGAGGCATAAAATATTCATTGAGGGTAAATGGTGGAAGGCGTAATGAGATAGTAACACCTTCACCATCCGTGATGAAGGTACTCTGTTGGTATAGTGCCTAACGGGTCAAGAAGACCCGAGTTCAAATTCAGACTCTGCCCGACTGGCTGGGTGGGCTGGGTGAGTCACACGACCTGTGGGTACCTCAGGCACCTTTCAGGAGCCCCCTTGAAGGACGAGCCCCCGGCCAGGTTGGCCTCATCTCAGTGGCTTCCCAAAGCCGACGCCCCAAGCTCTGGCACAGTGCGAGGCTTAGGTGACCACGGTTCACGTACCTCGAGGATCTTCTGGAGCAGTTCAGGAACGCCTTCCAGGGCCATCGACGTGTTGTGGTAATCGCGATGCTGAAGAATGGTGTACACCATCTCCGGGTCTCCGGTACTCACCGCCTCATGCAAAACTGAAATCCCCAAAGAGCAGAGTCCATTAAAACACCAATAAAGGGCGGCACCCCACGCCACCTCCAGGATCCGTGACTTCACCGGCATGGGCACTCCCTCCACCAATGCAGATTGCAACCCCTCTGCAACCTGGCAGTCTCAAGAGTTGCCTTGGCCAGAAAGGGCTTTTCTCTGTGGTCAATCTGGCAAGGAAGCTCTGTGCCCTTGTCCTTAGACACCAGCTCTACAGCCTGGCACAGGGCCCACCTTGCCAGGGTACAACTATCAAGGTCCCAGGGTCAGCCCCACACCCGCCACAAGAACTCAGAGAACACTGACCCCAGTAACCTCCAAGGCCTGTCTCATCAGAACAGGTTCTGCCAGCAGGCCAAGTCTATCACTAGGGACAACCTCACTCAGCGAAGCAGGAAGGACAAGGCTAGGGGGCCGTTTTCCTTCCTCAGGCGCACCTCAGCCTGAACAGACAAACCGCTTCTGCCACCAGAGTTCTCTTTTTTGGGGGGCGGCTGATCACATAACTGGAATGTAACAGACCCCAAGCACACTGGCTAATAATAGGTAGGCCTCAAGAATGGCCTCCTGTCACCTGTCATTTCTGCTCCACCTGGTCCTTCCACGGGGATTTCCTACACAGCTGCCCGAGTGCCGGCCATGCCACGTGAGGCCCTGACGGCAGCTGCCCTCGTCAGCATGACAAATCTCCCTCCCAGGGGAGCCAGAGGAACAGAATGGAGACCCCTGAGCTGAGCCCGGCTAGCAGCAGCTACCTCTCCCCTCCCCTTTTCCTCTTGTCCCAAGGGAAGAAAAGTCACGAGTCAGCTAATGACATCTCCTTCCAATGCAACTGTGATTCAGGGCTGGCTTCGTGCCTTTTTTTTTTTTTTTAAATGTATGCTTGCCTGTCCATCCCTGGCGATTTTCTTTCGTGACATCTGCTTTATGTCGGAGCAAGACTCTAGCAGACTCCAAGTGTCCCAAGGAAACAGCGAGGTGCAGTAAGGTCCGGCCTCGGGGATCCAGGGCCTCCACATTCTGTTAAGTAACCAGAATTACTTTTAAATAAAATTGGTAAACACACTCCTAAGAAGCTCAAACCAAAGCAGAAGCAGCCTTGCACCCATGACTGCACTCCAGCTCAATCTCCGTGGAACAGGGGCTTTCGCTGACGGGTGATCACACGCTATGACACGGCACAGGGGACAGCTTGTGAAACGTGTCAGTGCTCCACAGAGAACAGCAAGGACCAGATTATAATCAGACTGAAAGTAGAGAAGACAATTTCAGAAGGAATAGGAAGGCTGTGGGCCAGCTGGACTTTCACCAAACCGCCGAGGCAGATCGACGGGCCCTCAGGACCAGGAGAGCGACTTGGGAGGCGCAGGCGGGAAGGGATCGACACAGCCATGAAATACGGGCACCTCGGCACCATGCACTCCCGGCCTCAGGATACGACTCAGTGGACTTTCCCTCCTTCTCTCCCTCATCCCTCCTCTCAGCTCTGGGTTCAGAGAGGGTGGACGGAGGGTCAGGATCTCAGACATCATCTCCTGCAATGCCCTCATTTTCCAGAGCAGGAAACGGGCCCAGAGTGGTCACTAGACCACTCCGTAAAATGAGGTCACACAGTAGAAAAGGGGGCGGCAGAGAGGGGAGGCTAGCCCAGCTTCTCCCATGTCCTTCCACGGATACACCAGAGCCACATCTCCTGGCTCCCTCTCAGGGAGACTACACGTGTACAGCATCTGAAGTCAAGACAAGGAAAAGCATAGGCTCACGAATGGCACGCAGGCCCTTGGAGGCCATCCAGCCCAACGTACAGGAAACGGTAGCCCAAAGTCGTTATGTGACTTGCCCAAGGTCACACTGGGAGTGCCTCTCAGAGGCAGGGTTTGAACCTAGGTTCTCTGACCCTATAGCCAGAAGTCTTTCCACTGTACCACACCATTACTCATCTAAATAATGATAATAATAACAATTATCATTTCTACAGAACCTACTATGTGCCAGGTACTGCGTTAAGTGCTTCACAAAAGTTCTCATTTAATCCTCACAACTCCCCTAGTTGGTGATGATATTATTATCCCTACTTTACAGATGAAGAAACTGAGGAAAAGAGGTGCAAAGCAACTTGCCTAGAGTCACATACTAATAATTGTCTAAGGCTGGATTTGAAATCAGGTCTTCCTGACTCCAGACCCAGGGCTCTGTCCACTGCGCCACCAAGCTGTCCTAAGGAGACAACTTTTGGGGAGAAAAGTAGTTGGAATGCACAAAAAGAAGGCAAAGCCAACTAGACATCAGCAGCTATAGTAAAAGGGAAATTAAATGCCACTGAGGAGTTAAAACATGGCTTTGCCTACTGGATAAAGGGCAGAGAACCTATAAACAAGGAATTGATAACCCTTCCTGTCCACGCCCGCTGCTGAGCACCAGAAGCCTCTGTGCACTGCAGGTGACCTCCTCTGTAAAGTCAGCGTTTTAGCATCCCTCTGAAGCACACGAGCGGCCTCACAGCTAACATTCCTGTCTCGGCAGACTTTCAAGCCCAACCTCAATGTCAGCTCTGGACTCCTCCCTCTCTCACCCCCTCCCCCATCTCATCAGTCCACAAGCCCACCGATGCCCTCCTCTCCACTCCTGGGGGCCGCCATGTCTTCACTATCTGAAGGGCTGCCACTTCTGCTTGACCTCAGACAGCAGTAATAGGCACAGAGTGGGAAGAGGTGGTTCAGGCTGGCTGCAGGGTGAGGAGACAAGTCCTGAAGCAGAGTGGCCTGTCCTGGGAGGCACAGTCACCACTGAATTCAAAGTCTCCCCTCGAGGCAAATGACTCCTCGCAGGCCTCGGGGCCTGGATGCCAGGGAGGCCCCTTCCAATGCTGACACTGTTATTCTCACCCAGACCACTTGGCAATAATCTCCTAATAGGCCTCTTCTCCCTCCAACCTGTCCTCTGGACACCTTTGCTAGATTTCTCTCCTGAGGTTCAAATCTCAACTGCTACTTTGTCATTGCCCAGACCGGTCACAAAATTTTATACCTCAAAGCATTGGTTCAAACTAGTCTACTGTCTTTTCCCCTCATTTCAGTCCAATCCTAACTGTGGTTCAAGGCCCAACTCAAACATTACCTCTGTGAAGCCACCCACGACCCTTCCGGCTAGAAGTAATCTCTCACATTCTAGTAAGAAAAACACAAAATGGACCTCCAATGGGGGTGGGGGTAAATGGCATCTACTTCTATATTGAAGATGGCCCCAGGAAAGAAGACAGTGCAAAAAGCCCCACTCTTCTTAGACTGCGGATCAACATTAACTTGGCTACAGGTTGTTTAAACAGAAGATCCTTGTCCAGAGACCAGCAAATGGATGTACTTCAAGATGGACGCATCTCATCCATCTCACTATAAATTAAACTGGAGGCCAAAGGAAGCGTTACCTGAAAGGCAGGAAGGCTCACAGGGTCTCCCAGGAGAGACAAGGAATGAAGTCTTCAGTGTTGGAAAGCATTGATCATTTGGGAAGAGCCGGCTGTGCCTCCTTCGAGGCTTGTGATATAAGAGCGTTTGCCCAAAGAGCTCCACGAATATGTAACACATATATGTAATAGATATGTAGTTACATATTGCGCTGATGTACCAACCTCTGTTACAGGGGATGAAGAGGGTAGAGAAATTCTAAATCTATATGATGGAATGCTATGGTACTGTAAGAAATGATGAGCAGGACGCTCTTCGAAAACCCTAGAAAGGCTTACATGAGCTGATACAAAGTGGAATGGACTGAGTATACAGTAACAGCAATACTGTGAGATGATCAGCTGTGAAAAATTGAGCTACTCTCAGCATTACAATGATGAAGGACAACTCTGAAGGACTTATGACGAAAAATGCTATCCATCCCCAGAGAAAGAACTGATGGTGTCTGAATGAAGATTGAAGCAGACTTTTTTTTTTTACTTTCTTTATTTTTCCTGAGGTGCAGGTTTGGTTTTTTTTTTTTTTGGTCTATGTTTTCTTTCACAATTAATATAGAAATATGTTTTGCATGACTACACACATATAACCTATTTCAAATTGCTTGCCTTCTCAATGAGGTAGGGTGGGCAGAGAGGAAGGAAGAGAATTTGGAACTCAAAAGTTTTAAAAATGAATGTTAAAGACTGTTTTTACATGTAAGTGGGGAAAAATAAAATACTAAATAATTTTTTTAAAAAACTCTAAATCTACAAAGAATCTAAATTAAACCAACACACATACAGACAGATAAGGGGACTCTATTAAATTCCCAAGAGTGGAATCTATTTCCAGCCCTGGTTCTGCCTCCCAGCTCATTCTCTTTGATCAGCTGGTCATCCTTATTATCCAAATATACTCACGAGGAGATGCAGCCAATTTGGGATAATGAGGCTATCCTAGGGAAGGCATTAGAGTTTCCATCTTCACTTCCCATAGGAAAAGGCCTCAGTTCAAATTTCATTATGGCTAAGAGACAAGTTCAGGGACTGCCCCAGTGACACATTGCCTCTGGGCAAAGACTGTCCCCTATTTAACCTTCAATTCATCCCTCGGGGCCCACAGGAGTATCCAGGCAGCTACATCAGTCTTCCAGGTTGGTCATTTTAGCCTTAGGCTGTGCAAAAAGAGCATTTCTCTTCCGAAAGAAACTGGAAGGTCAAATAAATTGAACTTTGCAGTTCTCATGTGGGCTATCCTATTATTTTGGCTAACTGACCTGTTCTTAGTCTAAAGTTCTTCTCTGGCCTTCCATGATGACCCCCTGAGCAGGTCTGTGGTCGCTAGACTGCACAGATCTCACAGGCTCTGCTGGGATCCTTGGGAGCTCCAGAAACAGCACAAAGTGTAGGGTTTTCTCATCTTTGCGGCAAAGGCCTCCAGAGTCATTTCTCTTTGTAACCACTTTTTGGGAATTTTCTTGGCAAAGATACTGGAATGGTTTGCCATTTCCTTCTCCAGCCCATTTTACAGAAGAGGAAACTGAGGTCAATGGGGTGAAGTGACTTGCCTAGAGTGACACAGCTGACAAGTGTCTGAGGCTGGGTTTGAACTCGGGAAGATGAGTCTTCCTGACTCCAAGCCTGGTGCTCTCTCACCCAAATACACCAACCTAAACCAGCTGAAAGTGAATTTAGAGGAAATAAAAATGTCACTGGTCGTGCCTATAAAACATCTACTCTGCCAATAGCTATCTGGGAAGAGAAGCTCGATTTCCATTTGTTTCCATAACAAATTGTGGAATGTCGTGATATCTGTTAAAAAAAAAAAAGCCAACCAGGTCCAAACAAGAGATAAGTGACCTGGGGGGGGGGGCCCTTCTCCTTCACCAGAAGCTCTTAGAAATGACCAGAAAACAACTGGCATCCACTGTGGCAACTAAGCTTCAAGGCCACATGGAGAGCCGGGGAGGCAGATGGACTCCATCACTTTCTCTTTCCACCAAATAGTTTCACTATTGGCCTTAAGTTGTTCTCGGGAAACACGGCCAAGATTTCTGGGTTCAAGTTGGCGCACAGAAATTCAGAAATGTGTTTATCCCCTTCAGCTGGACAAGCTTTTACTTTTTCTGTGTTGCTGTTCCTGGAATAAAGTAGAATCCTTTCGGCCACCACCACATTTGGGGACATTCCCACCCCCGTGGTGGAAGGGGCAAAGGAAAGGGAAGCAGAGACTGATAAACAAGATGTCAACATTCGATGTCCGGTCTTATGGCGAGGCTGACAGCAACTGGCCTCGTCCTTCCAAATGAAAACCCATGGAGCCCCGAGTACAAAACAGGGAGGAAGCTCACATTACATTTCATTTCATAACGCCTTTTCTTCTTTGGGCTCTCCAATCCCTAGTCATATGGACTACAGGTGAAACCCAAACCAGGCTCTAGTGCCTTCGGAATGTCCACAGGAGAAGGCTGTGAGCACACACCTAAGATTTACTTTTATCTCCTTGTCTCTCTCTGCGTCCCCCCTCTCTTCTCTCCCCTTCCTCCCTCTCCTCTCCTCTTGTCTCTCTCTCTCTCTC